TCAAGATGGGTCCCAAGAAAGCCAGTGGTAAGGATCAAGGCAAGAAAGCCCATGTGAGGATGACAATAGAGGAGAAACAAGAGATAAATACAGATAAAACTGAGATAAAACTCAGATAAAACTCAGATAAAACGTGCCAGGGAGTGCACACCAGAAAGGTCCTCACTGCCTGATGTGATAATGGAAGGGGACTCCCCTTCCAAACAGTAACTCCTCTCCTCCTCCCCCCTCCTCACTATCTTCCATACGCCTACAGCATTCAACAGCAAGGTAAGTAATAACTTGAACATAGTTTTGTAGGTTTATTTAGATGAATTAGGTATAAAAATTTAGCGTATAAAAATTTAGAAAAAACTTCGATGCTTTACCTTCCTTTAAACGGCCTTTTCGTGCCTTTGAATCTTCCCTTCTTGCCGCCAAGCGTTGAAAGAACCAGCTCAGGTTTTTTAAAGACTGTCTTGCTGAGCAAGTTCTCCCTCTTTCTTTATCTCACTTTCTCCAGTTCAACACTTTAGGATCTCCTTTCCCTGAACATGCCCGCCTTCTTCTTCAAGAACTTATTCATGCCACCTCCTTGCAAGTTGACGAGGCTTTTCTTGCTGTTCGTCAACAGCAACGTTTTCTGTCCTCTTCTCTTCCCAGTGATCTATGCAATATCATTTTTCCAATTGCATTTGACACTGCTCACGTCTCCTCCTCTCACCACTCCTCCATACTACACAACAAACTTCAACGCCTGATCTCCAACAGTCCTTGGGCCAAATACTCTCTCTCTGACTGTATTACCAACCTTTCGTCCTACTCTCTTTCTAAGCACCAGCAAGAACTTCTTGGTCTAGGTCTGTCTGTTGCTACTTCCCCTGGCCCACGCTGTGGCATTGATCTCATTAGTTCCTTTGACAGGTTTGTCAATTCTAACTCTAGTACTCTTTCAGACCTGTCTGCCTTTAGAGGGGCCCGTATCCCCGTTCTTGACAGCTTGTTTTCTAAAAATCACCACCTTCCTCGTCGCTTCAAGCTTGCCCTTGCCACCCTAAAATCTAACAACTCTATTCTTATCCTTCCTTCCGACAAAGGCAATTCGGTGGTTGTCCTTGACCGTGAGGACTACCTCCGAAAAGCAGATGTCTTGCTCTCTGACTCTCGCACTTATGCTGCTCTGACTTCTAACCCTTTGGATCGCCTCAAAACTTCCTTTAACCGCAAACCAAGACAGCTCTCTAGTCTTTGCCCTCCTGACTTTGATCTCATTAAACGTTTCCGTGTCATCTGCCCTTCTCTTCCTTATTTCTATGGTCTTCCTAAGACTCATAAACCTGGTGTTCCTCTTCGTCCTATCATTTCTTCACGGGGCTCTGTCAGCTATCCTCTTGCCTCCTGGCTCGCTAAAACTCTGACACCTTACCTTGGCACTTTTTCCCCTGCTCACCTTCGTCACTCTCAGGACTTCATAGAAAGACTGCGCCTGCAGCCCTTTAGTAAGATGCTTAGTCTTGATGTCGACTCTCTGTTCACTAAAGTTCTCTCTTTCCTTAGACAGAAGGCGTCAGAGGGGCTCCTTCCTCTCCCGCTTCCCACTGACGTTTTCCTCAATCTCATTAGACTCTATGTTGACTAACTCTTTCTCTTTCAACAGTAAATATTACACTCAAACTTTCGGTGTCGCTATGGGTTCCCCTCTCTCCCCTGTTCTTGCTAATTTCTACATGGAATACTACGAAACTGTTCTTCTTCCTTCTGTTGATACTCGTCCCTCTCTCTGGCTTCGCATGTTCAATTCACAATGAACTTCATTTCATTGTAGTTATATAAAATATATCTTACCTGAATGTTACTCAAAATATTACCGACACTTCAACAACTTCGGAAATACCGGAGCCCCGGAAATAACAACCTGGGTACAGCCCAATATAGGCCGTTAAATTGCGTGGATGTACACAGTACCTTACCGGCACTGGTAAGGTATTTGCACAGTACCTTACCAGTGACAAAACCACCACCACCTACCCAGAGGCAAACAGAGGGACATGGAACACCCCAACTGACTCCAAGGGCGGGCAATTACTGAGCAGTAAAAGACCTCAGAGGAGGTAGCCCCCAAGCAACTTATGGAAGAGAAACCCAAGCCCCAAGGGCTAAGGCAAGTACTTACAGGGCACCTAGGGAACGTAACCCCAGGTGCATACAGCACAAGTACAGGTGAAATTACTCCTGGCTCCACCACAGGACAGGACCACACCACAAGGCACAGCACTGAATAGTTTGGAGCCAGAGTCGCATGACAGCCAGGTCTCACATCAGCCACAGAACTTACGGGTTGGATAGCCCACACAGGGGTCTGGGGCGCCCCCTTCCCCTTCCCGGGGAGGGGGGAGCTGCGCAAACAGTGGCGCGGTGACGGTTGTGACGTCATGCTCGTTTGCTTGTTTTTTGTTTGGGGAGTTTTGTCCAACAGTTCGGCTTTTAGTAGCAATATTATAACCAGATAGGGTTTGTTTTGGGGCGCTTACCTTTCTGGGTACCTGACCCGGTCGATGGCAGACATAGAATGTTTCCAACCACATGGGGGTTTCTATAGGCCATTGCTCCTTGTACCTGAGGGGGCCAGGTTCTGGCTCATGGTCTCGGGTAGGCCTAGAACTCCATTCGCCTGACTGATGACAGGGGCCTAATACATTCATATCAGCCCATATAGTTCAGGGAAGCCGAAGGGGTTTCTCCAAGAAATTGCGTTTGTTTATTAGAGCCCTGAGGAAGCTCATATGAACCCCGTGTAGCCATGGGAGTTTTGAATCCTACACTATACTTACGAGCACCCTGAGGCACTCTGCACATCATCGATCTAGCGCCTCAATCTGCACAGTGCAGTGATTAAAATATTTTGCAGGGACTAAACTGACATTTCACATTTCAAATTATTTCATGGCTGGAAGGTGAGAGGGGGTTTGGGAGCTTATGTTACTTTGGTATTGTCATACTGAGCAGCCTCCTGGGTAAAGAAATGAACTTTACTTCTCTTTTCTCCTCTCCTTAACCCTCAAACCGCTAGGGGCCCAAATGGAATTCACACCCACAGGCGCAACAAAAAAAAAACTCCAAAAAATTCTTTCGTCTTATAGAAGTGTTCATTTTTGTTCCCTGATCACGGAAAAAATAACAAAAAAATCGTAGGTGGCATATTTTAGCCGCAATAGGGTAGGGAAGTGTGGCAAAAAGGGGCGTTGGCAGAGCCTTCGCCAGATGAGGTCTACTCCGCCTGAGCTGTCAGACGGCAGTTGCCACAAATATATTATTACCTAATTATTTCAATGTCTCTGATTGATTTTTTCTTATTTTTTTTGCAGTAATATTATTCCATACAGTGAATTGTGGTATATTTATATTATAAAATGTGTGAACCATCGCTGTACTCAAAATTATGGTGTGCATATTAGTGATTCAATTATTATGTTCATAAAACAATAAACAAATAGTTTTGCTGTTGTTACACTATATACAGGTTATATATAAGTATTTGCATGTTTTGTACACCATAACGAACTACTAAGTTGGTCTTGTGAGTCAAAAAGCAGCGAGGAGTGCCCGCCAAACACCAGCGAGCCACTCACTCCCTCAACACCACCTCACTCACCCTCATTCACCTCCTACAATACTCTTTCTGTATTTATTCACTATACACAGACGTTATATATACGTATTTACATGTTTTGTTCACCATAACTGTACATCTAAGCTTGTATGGTGAGTAAAGGCCACAAAGACGTAGCTACTCACACAGTCAGCTGATCGGCGGCCGCCCTCAAGGCCAGACGCACTAATATTTGTCCTTCAATAATATTGTTTGTGGTGTTATTACGCTATATACACATATTATATATAAGTATCTACCTGTTTTATTCACCATACCTGAACAAATAAGCTGGTATGGTGCCCAAAGACTATTGTGGTCACCAGTAAACAACATGATAAGTCGTGCAGACGACGCCACCGCCCTCACAAAAATGGCGGCTCCCAACCTACTCCTCTTGCTGTTTATACCCTATATACACACGTTATATATAAGTATCTACATTTGTGTTCACCATATCGAACCACTAAGCTGGTATGGTGAGTGCAGTCAATAAATGGTGGCCACACACAGTCAGAAGACGACGCCACAACCCTCCCTCGCACAGCCTTACGCCTCCCTCCATGGAGCACAGCGCTAAATATCACCACAATCCTGCTATTATCAGAATCCTGGTCAGTTTTATCACAGTCAGGGGCTTTAGTAATACTCTCACTGCTAAATAATAGCAGTATCATATATATTATGGTATTTGTAGGCGATGCTGTGGTCACAAGCTGAACAGCGGTGCTGTGAGCTCGTGCTGCGTGCGCCAGCCTTGGTGGCTTGCTCAATACTGACACTCTCACACCCAAGAATGTTGGCCTGGATTTTTTTTCGAGGTAGCATCTGGCAACTATCGGTCGTGGCTGTACTATAGCTGCCCCTATCCCAGGCGGGGAGTTTAAATTATAGCGCTAGACACGAAATCATATATAAATGATGTACGCGGTTTCGGTTTTGTCACTGATATCATTTATATATGATATGCGCGGTTTGAGGGTTAACTGAGAAGGGAAAGATAATTTGAAAAGGTACTTTTTCCTGTGGGACACCAGTCGACAGAGCTAGACATGATTCTTGGTATGCTGGGTGACACAGTTTGGTAACATGAGCAGCGACCAAATGACTGCTTAGAAAAGGAAGGTTTCATAATATGAAATCCTAATTATCTTTAGCATATACAGAGATGTCTTCAATCAATAATTCCACAGCTGAATGATTTAAACACTGAAAAGAAGATTAAGAGCATCTATTATATTACGAAGAATTCTCCTACATTTGCTGACCTGCTCATTTCACATGAGCAGAGAAAGTGTTATAGGACTTACTGCTTACAAATTAGCTAAAATAAAATACCTTAAAAATATAAATATTATTTTTTAAATCTCACTTGTGATGTACACAGCTCAGAGACCACTTCAGGAACATAATATTCAGGATAAGGCTTCACTAACTCACTGAACCTTTTGGTGCACTCAGCCTCCCGAACATAATCACACTCCCACCTTAACTCTTTCTTGGCCACCTCAACAATCGAGTCCACAAAGAGACCTGCAGAGCACAATTAACCTTGTAAATACATAATAGTTCATCAACACCCATAAAATATATAAAACATAATGTAAAATTTAAAATCTTCAAAGCCAATATAATATATTAGAATAAAACTTGAGCCAATGGCTCTGTACTCCTCTGAGTTGAACAATTAATATGAAATGGTAAATACTATAATGACATTTTAACATAACAGTTAACCCTTAACCCTTAAACTGCGCAACATGTCAGACGATGTGTTGAGTAACTTGCTATATATTGTGCATCATGTCATATAACATGTTGGAGTACTACGCAAGGTTTAAATGGCCGGCAGATACATAGGGTTCACCTCACCATCAGGGCTCTTGTAAACAGACGCTATTTTTTTTTTAAATTGTGGGCCACATTCCCAGGTGTGAGGTCCTCAGTACTGAGTGAGCCACCGAGGCTGGCGCATGTAGCATGAGCTCACAGCACTGCTGTTCAGCTTGTGACCACAGCATCGCCTAAAAATGCCATAATATATATTTACATGCTATTATTTAGCGATGATAGTATTACAGAAGACCCCTGACTGTGATAAAAATGACCAGGATTCTGATAATAGCAGGATTGTTGTGATAATTAGTGCTGTAGTGGGAGGAGTAATCTTGGTGGGGAGGGAGGTAGGTGAGGTGGACACACAGAGTCTGTTAACTCTGTGTGACCACCTTTTACTGTCTGGACTCACTATACCAGCTTAGTTTTTCACTATGGTGAACAAAACATGCTGATACTTATATATAACGTCTGTATATAGTGAATAAAAGCAAAACAGTATGGTGGGAGGAGAATGGTGGAGAGTCAGGTGAGGTGAAGGAGGGAGGGAGAGACAGTCAGTGGCGGGCTGCCACTGGAAGTTTTGTCAGACTTCCCCACCCTATAGCATACAAAATATGTCACTTATGATTTTGTGAACCACCAAGGCTGGCGCTCGCAGGGACAGGGAGGACAGGGACAGGGAGCCTCCGGGACTCACCCAGAAAATGGCATTTCATTACATTCAATGCTGGTTTTCTGGGGGAAGCCCCGTCGGCTCCCCGAAGCTACCTCACCATAGATAAGGAAAACAGGGAAGGAACCGGGAGGCAGATGCCACGCGCCCTAACTTAAAAACCAAGACCACAGACAACACAAAGACCAAAACGAGAAGAAAATATACCACCCAGGTCAACTACCAGGACGGCACCAAAACTCAAGAGCAGGCCAGAGGGGAACAACGCCCAGGACAGCAAGTGGAACGGAGCAGAAGGAACCGCAACACCAAACGCAAGCAGGAGCGTCTCCGCCAGCACCACCACGAGGTGACAGGACACTAGCCCAGACGACGGACCCGGAACAACCTCGAAGGGAAGACAAGCCAACCCTATCAAAGACCGAAGGACCCTTCGCATTGATAAGAAAACCGGAAGGACCACCAGGAAAACCACACACCGCCCCCGAGACGAAACACGCAGGTGGGAGAACAATAAGGAACCCACCAGTGCCGACACAAACGACGAGAAACTAGCACCACGAACGAAGGCGCAAAATGTGAATTGGAAAACTGCAACCCAAAGGAGCGAGATAACCAGCTCTAGCAGGGAAGAAAGGTGCACGCTTCCCAGAGGCATCCAAGAGGAGAACCACCGAGGACGTGAACCGCAGGAAAGCAAACACACCCGTTCCGGAAAGGAACAAAGAAAAACCGGAGCCAGGACCGGAACCCAGCAAACCCCGGTTCCAAGAAAAGAAACCAGAAAGGCAGGAGCGGCAGACCAAAAGTCCACAACCCCCCACAGACAGCGCAACACCGAAGCCTGCAGGAAGTCACACAGAAAATCGCAGGAACTCGGTACCAAAACGGAACACCGGAGAAGTCCAAAAGCAGGAAACTGAACATGGACAGAGTCCCACCTGAGCACCAAACAACAGGATAGGCCAGAAGCACTGATCCAGATACACAAATAGGTGGAGCATGGCAGGAGGAAAAACGGGAATAGGTAAGGAAAACCCCGAATACGGCCCAAGGAGCGGCCGGGAAGAAAGACACACGGCCAACCACAAAATGTGGAGAGGAGGGCGTACATACCCGATGGACCTCATGGACAGCAGGGTGCAGTCAGGCACCGAAGTTAGGCAAGGAATGAGTGTCCCGAGAGGGAAAAGACCCAGGTGTTGACAACAAAACCAAAAACGCTGAAATGCGGGGCAGAGCCCCACAGACAACAAAGAACAAAAGACAGGGACAAAAATCACTGAAGACCCATGCAAAGTGACCAAACACACCACACCAAACACCCCTTTTAGGAGCCATCGACTCAAACCCGCCAAGCGGGGAATAGTAAACAAGGATGGAGCAGTGAACAAGGGTGGTGGAGTGAGCAGAGTATCCCAATAAGATACTTGCTCCAAACGCATTAGCCTAACGAGAGAAGCAAAGCTCTACGGAGGCCCAATCATGGAACTCAAACTGTTCCAAACTTCCAGTGAATAAGAAACAGTCGACCTGCAAGTGTGGTCTAGAACAGACACTTGCAAGAAACCGTACCGACTCCCAGTGCGCTGAACTCGCACCATTGCCCGCCAAAATAACACCCACATACCACTGTATACGCAACAAAACATATGTAGCCTCTGAGTGGTTGTGTTTATTGTCACCAATCTTCACGAAACAATAGAACTGGGACAGAGGCACACGCCACCCGTGCAGCACATGTTGGACACGAAACAATGGGTATAAAAGGGATAAGTGTAGAATCAGGAAAGACCTGAGGAATGACCGGCACGGTAACAGGTTCGGTGATTCGCAGAACCAATTACCGCGTAACTGGTGGTGGGGCCCCTCGATTTGTGCAAACGTGGGTTGGACATGTATATGAGCGGGAATGGTTGGGAAGAAATAGGAGCCGCTTCATACGGCCCAATAGACCCTCTGCAGTTCCTCTGGACTTATGTCCGTATGGTCATATGCACAAGGGAACACAGGAGGAAGCCGAGTACTCAAAGGAGCCACAGACACGAAAAAGAACCCGATCAATGTCAGAGGGGAAAAGGAAGCAGAAAGCACTAAGAAGCTACGTGGTGGAAGCAGACCCCACCCACAGGAGCAACCGTAGAGAAGACAGAACCCAGGAGGCTCAAGAAACTGCACAACTGTCAACTGACATGAGAGGCAGGGCCCAAGAGCCAGAGCTCAACCCCTGCAAGCACAACTAGGCAAGCTCCCCACCAAAAAGTGAGACCCAGCCCATGGCCGACAGAAGCGTCAGACATGACCTCACCTGTAGAGCAGACACACAACCGTGCCACAACACAGGCGAGCCAAGGAACACACCAGGAGAGCGCTAACGGTGTGCCCAAAAGCCAAGCATACTCGAGGCAGTAGGCATGGAATGTACCGTTACCTGAATAAAATTCGGAAGTCGAAGGTAAAAAAACGTCCAGAGGCGCGCGCCCCGCAGAAGACAGAGCAGGACAGAGGGGGAGGAAGCGGCGCCACGCCGAGCCATCCCAGACCCGGAAGCAGAGGAAGAACGAAGTGACACCCCCAGACATAAATCCAAAACACCCTCAGCATCCAGAGGGCCACGACCGGAGGGAGAAAACGAGCAAGAAGCCGTAGAAAAACCACGAGCAAGAAGCCGTGGAAAACCACGAGAAACGACACGAACACACGAGCATACTGCCCACAAACAAAACGCACACCGTGGCCCCAGCACACGAGGTACGAACGTACCACCCGTCCACCGGGAGGCGTGGCTCATACACCAGGCGGACACACATATCATACACACAACGTACAGACACAATGTAAACACACATCGTACAAACACCAGGAAGGCGTGCGTAATGAAGACGAAGAATGCCGAAAAGGGAAGGAGAGACAACACAAAAACAAAACAAGGCGAAAACGAAGCAAAAGAAAACAGATGACGGAAGGTAACCAACGAGGCCGACAAAAAACCAGAGGGAAACCTCATCGAAAATCAACAGACGTTCCAATAATACTGGACGGTACGAAGAGACTCGCGAACCAACGAGAACCACGACAAGCACCCCTGAGCAAGGACACGCAGGGACAACGATACGGAGTGGTTTAGGCATTGTATGTACAAGGCAATATATAAATCCATCTACGCGTGCTTCACAACTTGTAGGAATGTACCTTACCTGAACAAACTTTCGATTTATTCATTTTTTGGGGGGGAACAGTATCGCAATGTAAGAGCGAAAAGGGTAAGGAAAAGGGGGCGAAACACATTCCCAGGAACGACGGGACCGACGAACCCGAAGGAACACGGAACTGAAACCCAGGGAGGGGTATACCCGAAAACAACAGGAACACAGAGAGGGAAGGAACAACCCCACTCTGAGGAACTGCCAGACCCTCACCAAAGGTACCAGGACCCAAGAGGGGCAAACGGGGCCAAGGCCCCCCAGGCAACCCCTCTCTAACCCTAGGAACCTCGACGGCATGACCCGGGGCCGAGCCGCACCCCCAAACTCCCAGCTTGACAAGGAAAAGCCGGGGCAGCCGTGCAAACACTAAGGAAGGGAGCCCACTGGTCAGACCCATATGGCAAGGCTGGAGGAACCGACATGAATACCTCCGCTGCCACCCCGGAAGAGGAAACCCCCGAGACCGCCCGAGTCTCAACCCCACCAGACCCTGCCCCAACCCCGAAACCCTCCTATGGATCGGTGCAGTAAGCAAGGGAGAAAGTGTGTAGAACAGAAGGGGAAGGACACGGAGCGGAAGGAGCCAGAGCCGAAGCGACCCCCACCCCAAAGTCCGGACTCCAACCACCATAACGGGGCAGCCTCGGGGCATCCGGGGCCGCAACAACCAGCAAGCAACGCCGATGCTGCCTGCACCTGATTAACATGACCAGTGGCCTGAGTGAAAGGAAGCACGTACCGACAACACTCGCTGTATGACTCCGGGTCACAAGAACAAGGACCCAACAGGCAGCATGACAGAGGCATAACCGGTG